CTCCCCCCCCCCCCCCCCCCCGGTAATCAAACTACAGAAGATCAGAATGCTCCAACCACGATTAAGGGTAAAAGTTAAGCCAATAATGAGCCTGAGGAAGCCAATATCCACAATAGCTTCTCATGTGTAAAAGTTACATTTACGTATGATTTTAAAATAAGAAGCCCAATTTTAACTAGACATGTTCCATTATCTTTGAAATCAGATAATTTTTATTAATGTTTCAGCTAATAATGAAAAGCTTGAACATTAATTTTAAAAATATTAAACAGTAATTTTAAAAACCATGTCAGTTGTCACAGAAACACGCACAAAATATTGAACATTTCCCCCTGTGCTGATTACTGATTGAGCACACTTAGTACATTTAGTCTTTAATTCCTCCCCCACATATATATGTATTTAACATGTATGAATATATATGAAATTACCTACAGCTTCACTCATAAACTAGATAAATGGAGCTGCATGCAATTTTTTTTAAGGTAACCATATTCACAGACAGTCAGTTCATGTCATTCATGTCAATTTTAACAGTAAGCAAAAGAAATAGGTTTGGAATTTGGGTTATTAAGTGCCTTAGATCTCTGGGTCAGGATTTATGGCTTTTTTTTTTTCCAGAATATGAGACTTTCTGTTAGTAGGTTTTTGATTCATAAATCAAAGCTACAAAATGCTATCACAATAAAAACATAAACACAAATTCTTGTAGAAACAGTCCTTTTCAGAGAAACATCCTTGTGTTTTAGCATGAACTGTATTGGTATTTGAGAATCAAGCAATTGAATACCAAAGCCTAGCACCTAGCATACAGATTTGACAATATTTGCCCAATTCGAATGTTGTGGTTTAAGCCCAGCCGGTAACAGTACCACACAGCTGCTCATTCACTCCCCTCCCTTCTTCCTCCCCCTGCTCCCGGAGGGATGGGGACGAGAATCGGAGGAATGTAACTCCCACGGGTGGAGATAAGAGCAGTCCAGTAACTAAGGTATAATACAAACCACTACTGCTACCACCAGTAATAATAACGATAAGGGAAATAACAAGGGGAGAGGATACAATTGCTCACCACCCACCCACCGATCCCCAGCCCGACCTGAGCAGCGATCTGGGCCTTCTGGGTAACTCTCCCCAGTTTCTATACTGGGCATGACGTGCTGTGGTATGGAATAGCCCTTTGGCCAGTTTGGGTCAGGTGTCCTGTCTCTGCTTCCTCCCGGCTTCCCCTCCTCCCTGGCAGAGCATGAGCCTGAGAAAGTCCTTGGTCGGAGTAAACATTACTTAGCAACATCTTTTTGAAGAGGAATATATCCTGCTCTATCTGGAGTTGTAAAATCTACTACTTTTGCTTGTGTGCCAGAAGTCTAAGTGTATTCATGGAGATCCACCTGCGTATGTAAGAGTAATTCTCCCAAATATACCCCCATCCATGCCTACCAGAGCGACATCCTTGTATAGTACTTTGTGTACATGGAAGGATAAAAAATACAAATAAATAAAAAATATAGTAATGATACTTCCAAGACCAGTTTAGGAGTGATCTATACCATTAATGAAACAGTTCTGGTCTCCCATTTCTCTCACTAGGACCTCTTCTTTACTAGTTAATGTGCTTTCCAAGTGATTTAAAACTACACAATTCTTAATGCTCTCTATATTCTATAAGCTTTAGTCTTAAGCATTAGAGCAGGCTCCTCTCCATCATTTTTACTTCATGAAAACAGTATTTAATTCCTTTCATTCACATATGCTTAAAACACAATTCAGATTTTGACCTTAAATAATATTCTTTGCCTTCTGAAATCTTACATGTTAAATTGCTTACTCTCATGTTCTTGGAGTTACCATATGTTGAAGCTACATGAAGTATGTTTTACTCCATTGTTTCACTATTTAGGGAAAAGTGAATCAGTAAGACCAATCTAGAAAGAGATCATCTAACAGTAAAAATGCACCAAATTTGTTTTGAAGGATATCATGTGCGTGATCTAAATCTTTGGCAGCTATCTTATCTGAGAAACATGATCTTCACTTTTTGCCTTTCATGGTAAATATTTCCATTTGCAGGTAGGGTCCATCACAAGCTCCATCCTCCATCAATTATTAGTTCATTACCGGTCACATAGGCAGACTGAAATTACATAAAAAGTAACAGTAATTTTAACTATTTTTTCATGGCTATTAAAGGGAAACAATTTTTCTGTAGATTAAAAGAAAAAAAACAAAAACAAAAACAACCCCACACCCTGGCATTCTTTTTTTACAAGCACTTTTTGTTTTGTTTTACAAAAATACCTGAATAAAGAGAATACAAACAAACTTAGAAATTGAAGCCTTTTGGCTAACTTGGGGGAGTTTATCAAAAGTATTATTTGAAGCAGTATTCACATAAACTAGACTATGGCTGTCTTACCTGCAGGAATAATACCTCACACTATGATGTTATAGCTCTGTTCAGCTGAGCAGAATCTGACCAGGTCAGCCAATAATTATAAGGATACCTAACAGAAAAGTTAGATCAGGCAGATTGTGAGGTAAGCAACTAAGCTGTTGACATTCTTCTCTGTGTCAGTACTGAAGCATACTGGAATATATTGGAAAAGTGGAAGTCTGTCTACATACGGTTGAAAACCCTATGACCAGACTCGAAAAAGTAAGTAGCTTTACAGAAACACTAAAACCAAGATGAAAATGAGAAACAGATTACTGAGAGATAGCAACATTAAGACAGTGTTAATTCCATTAAAGTATTGTGCTACGCTCAATATGACTGCTGGACAAGACCAGAGGAATCCAGTCTAGTTTTAGATTCACAGTAAATGTATAGCACCCAAAATTACCTTGATATGTGCTCATTAGTATTGGTAGTAATTGCAGTGGTCATTAAGAGTTTGGTATATAACAGTCTCAGTGGGTCTATGTTTTTTCTTATGCTGAAAGGGTAGATTCACTCTGAGCATTAGCCCTTTTAGCTAAAATGGCCAGCAGTTCAACACAAGTATTTGCTCTTGAATAGTGAAGGTAAGTGACGATTACTAATTCTACCTCCTTAAAACATGATCTAGCCATGGTACAAATGTGGAAAAGCAGACAAGCCCGTTTGTCCTATCATTCAGGATGATCTGGGCTCAGTCAGTTTGTTTGGGTGACATCAAACCACCAGGCTATGGTACCAAACACCTAATGCCTTACCAATCACTGTCAGCATCCAGAATACTTTTTGCATTATAGGTTGAACTCAGTAAAATATTGTGGGCTTTTGTTTTATGTTTTGTAATAATCCATCTTAAAGACAATATAAATTCTCCTAAAGCAACTTCTCTCTATTGTGAAACAGCAAAGTAGCACAGGATTCTGTGACAGAAATTTTATTGTTCATACTCACTTCATCAGAGGCCAAGTACACAAAGAGATGGGCCACTTCTTCAGCAGTAGCCATCTGACCAGTCCTCTGTCTGGCTAGAAAGTCTTTCAATGCCTAGATACACAGGAGCATTTGGTATATCGAAAAGGAAAATATTATTTTAATCTGGTTAATATGATGTGTATAAAGCAATAATGGAAATAAGCCATAAAACACAAATTCTTTTAGTACACTGGGAACAAAATTTATGCTAGAGAAAGAAATTAGAATATTAACAGTGGTATGAATTTCAGATTGAAAAAACAGTAGGAGACTGGACCTAAATCTCTGGTTCTGGAGTAAAGCCAGTGTAAGTCCTTCTTCCTTTGGTGGTAGATATACCCAGGCCCTTTGAATGAGGGCTCACAGTTACCTAGTCAGTACGGTTAAGCATCCCAAATAATTCTGAAATGCATAGGCCAGGATTCCCTTTCTGTCATGGTTTTGCACTAGTTTGTGGCTGCCTCATGCCCCAGTAGATGTCCTCCATAGATGACAGACCCCCTGTACTCACTAAGCAATAGTATCCTTCTGAGGCATTTCAGACTCGTGTCTTGATGACAAACTGACCAAACTATCAAAGGAGACACTACTGTTATGTTATTATTGGTACTCTGAAACAGGGGACATTCCTGAATATGGGCAGAAGTGCAGCTGTGTATTTATTTTTAAAGAGAGTTAAACATATATACACACATGATCAAACTAATAAATTGCTTTCTCACCTGTTCTGGGTTAGGCTGGGCTTGGATTCTTTCCTGTAGAGATGGGGTGTCAACAGTTCCTAAGCAAAATTTTAAATTCAGTGTTAAAAAAACACCTGTGTCAACAATTGTGACAAAAAATGCTGTTCATTGGTTCTACTGAGAACCAGTTGGAGCACCTCCCGTATGAAGACAGGCTGAGAAAGTTGGGGCTGTTCAGCCTGGAGAAGAGAAGGCTGCGTGGAGACCTCCAGTGTCTGAAGGGAGCCTACAGGGATCCTGGAGAGGGACTCTTCGTTAGGGACTGTAGTCACAATGGGTAATGGGTTTAAACTAAAACAGGGGAAGTTCAGGTTAGATGTAAGGAAGAAGTTCTTTACAGTGAGGGTGGTGAGGCACTGGAACAAGTTGCCCAAGGACGTTGTGAATGCTCCATTCCTGACAGTGTTCAAGGCTAGGATGCACAGGGGCTTGGGCAACATGATCTAGTGTCAGGAGTCCCTGCCCATGGCAGGGGGCTTGGAGCTAGATGATCTTAAGGTCCTTTCCAGCCCAAACCATTCTATGATCCTATCTGTGTGTCTTAACACTTACACATAAGTTTGTAATATGATTCAGGACTGCAAAACTATAAATGTAGCATAGGATTCTAAATTTCAATAGAAGGCCAGACTTTGAGAATTGGATTCAATACTTTTCAGATGGTTAAACCATGGCTAGCCTGTTAGCTAGCCCTTGCCTGCTCCTAACTTCCTAGACTATATATTTGAAAATAAACATTCAATTAGTGTGTAATGCATATATAAGGTGCATGTGCTGGGTTAACAGACTAAACATACAGCTTAACTACAAAAGTAACAACTTTTCTATTTTAAATGTCAGAAATGTTTCAAGCATGTCCTCTGTAGGGTTAGGTTGTTGGTAACTTTAGTTGCCACTTTCAAGTCTGTTCTTTGTTAGTAATGTCAAAGTAAATTGGGCCTTCTAGTATTTGCTCCTAGTTTACAAAATAATGTATGAATACTTACCAGGACATACGCAGTTGCATCTGATGCCTTGTTCAATGAAATCAGCAGCCACAGACTTTGTTAGACCAATAACTGCTGCCTTTGAAGTACTATATACACATCTGTTCACAACTCCTAACAGAAGGTCAATGTGAAGGCAGCGTAGAAACATATTAAAGAAAGAAAGAAAGAAAAAAAGAAAGAAAAAGAGAACCAAGTTTGTTCAATATGCACCTGCTGTTGGGCCCTAGCATTTCCTGTAGCACCTGCAGTCCCTCTCTAAGAACAGGCAAACAAAAATGCTGACTGCCAGAATGCTGCTCAGGCATACACTAGAGCAAAGACCTTTCAGTAGTGTAAGTTCGGGGATTAGTCTAAAAAAAGCTAACAAAGTAAAGATTTTGGAACAGCAGAGACCCCACCTGTTAGTCACCATCAGGATTCCTTGGGAAGCATAGCTACAGTACTGATGTAATTGTCATTTCTTCATTGTTTCTCTGAAAAGCCTATGTAGCAAGGTATCACTGGAAGCAGTTCCTTTTTACTTAATACAAACTGGTAAAAGGATGCTATGAAGCATTCAGGACAGATTCAAAAGGTCAGAGGCAAGCATCTTAGTGTTTCTGCAATTTGCCATCTGTGTCCTTGTGTGTTTATACGTGCTTTTTTTTTTAAACTCCATCCCTCCTCAGGCTTGGCAATGCCCTTTCAGTTCAAAGTTGTGCAATGTTTATTTTGCATTCCCATAATTTCTGAGATTTATATAAGGAACTCTAGCAAGCTACTGACCTTTAATGCTGGATGCCACAGAAGACATGTTTATAATATTTCCAGATTTCTGTTTAAGCATCTGCAAAAGAACACTTAAGTCATTCCAGTGCAAACTATTTTGTCATCTGCAGACACAGCACAATTGCCCATAACAATCCCCAGAACAGCCCTACGCACAGTTGATACACAGGGAAGCAAAGCTTAATCGGCACAAATGGGTACTTATGCCTTTTTTCATCTACCTACTGAAGTAGTAAAGCAGAATCTGAAGTTCTCACTACGTTCTCCTGAGTCATCTCAGGAGTGAAGACTATGACAGGAAAGTCATTGGAATCATTGCTCTCTTGTCACCACAGTAAGCTACTCTATGTAGTAACTCTGCTTATACCATCTACCAATGCAGTTACTCACTGATCCCATTCAAACCCTAGCTTTGCAGAAGACTGAATCACAACTCTAGCATCTTTGAATTGTAGCTAGATTTCTTCAAGTTATAACCTTTTCAGGCATCCTAAAACCTAAGATGCCTACAGCTGTTATATAACAAACTTTGAAAATTGCTATCAGCTAAAAAACCCCCCACAAAACAACCAACAAACCAAAAGCCAGAACAAACAAAAAGGACTGGAACAACGCTGAAAACAGTAACCGTCATCCAGTCATGGTCACAGCTTCCACATCTGGCCTTTGCATTTACAGCAATACAAACTCCTTATTCAGTTCAGAAGTTTTTGTAGTCCCCAACCTAGTTATTATGTCACAAGCGTCCTCACACTGCTACACTGTTCTAACTGGCATGCTGCCATCAGTGGCACTGAATCGCTTCATAAGATAGCTTCCAGAGTTCCATTAAATTTATGTTAATACATATTATTTACAATTATTTTGTAGCAGTGGTAACATGCAACTGTGTACTACAGTATAATATGGTAGCACTGTACTGCAATGGCTCCCTTGCTGCTCTGCATTTGAAGGATTTTAGTTACGTATTACATAGGGCAAACCCCCTGATTGTATCTTCTCTACCACAACCTTTAGACAGATAGTCTACTTGAAGTATTACACAGTGCAGAGAATGTTTTACAAGCTGCATACTAGCATTTTTATCTCAAATCCCATGCTGTCACAGTGGCAACAACTTAGAACTCTCACACTTTAAACAGTGAAGCAGAGACTAAAAAATCATGGGCAAACAATCCTTACCTTAGGAAGGAATGTCTTGATCATTAAATACATGCTGCGAACATTGAGGTTCATAGTGAAGTTCCAGTCTTGATCCTCACAGTCCAGAATGGTTCCATGATGAACAAACCTAGAATTAAGTGTATGAAGTGGATTACTGTCTGCAGTTTACACTTCTGTGGCTTTTAATGCACATTCTTCTGTACGATTTTGCAGTAGGTAACTCTTCCAACCTTGAACAGGAAGGATGAGAGCTCTTTCAAAGAACGCAAGCAACAGTGTATTTCTTCTGATGAGTATCAGGGACACAAGGCAGACTCGGTATGTGCAAAGAAATGCTTGGCAACAGGGACAGAAAAACAAAACCAAAAAAAGCAGAGCACTAGCAGACCTTCAGCTTTGCTCACTGTTGTGCCAGGAGGGCCAAAGCCATCAGTACTGGGCACCCACAGAGTGGGGAAAACACAGTAAATCCCAGAGGCATTCTGTCTTGGCCTGGGTAACACGGCTGCACAAGAGAAGTTCAGGTTTAATGAAAACACATGAAAGTTTGTCTTAAAGACATAAAATGAATTAAAGCAAAAGAAATAAGATACATTTCAGTAAAATAAAGTACTTCTGGAGGACAGGGAAAACTGGAAAAAAATGTAGGATCAAATAGAAGCTGATTACCCTGCAATGTTACAGAGGACATCAATCTTTTCAATCTCCTTGGCGAGATTTTCTATCTGCTCCTTTTTGGTGACATCCAGAACCCGTATTTGAATGCCTAGAAAAACACAGTATTTGCTTCACTGTATTTGACTAAGGATCAGCTGTTTATTTTTCTGAAGTAGTGAGGATTGCACCTACAATTTAAAGCAGCAACTTGGCAGGAGCAGCCCCCCTCAGTGGTACACCACGACATGGAGACTCACTGAGTGAGAGCTGCACTTAATCATTAGGTTAGTGCAGTGGTTAAATCGGGACAGCAATGGACAGCAGGTTCCTAAAATTTCAGAAGGGAATTAAAGAAAGATCAACTCATTTGATTTGTTGTAACAGCACCACACAAGCAGATGAGCTAACATTACTTACCGCAAAAACATTTCCAATAAACTTGAATTCCACTATACTTTCAAACCAAACAATTACAGAACCTGTATAATCATAACAAACTTTCATGCCCATTATTATAGAATAATAATTACTTGGAATTAGTTACATGTGTGACACTCACAGTCCCATTATGTGCCATCTATCCATGCATAGTTGAGGATGTTATGAATTAGCTTTATATAATTTAATTAATGAGGAAAAGCGATTTTGCATAAGCTATTAACTCATATTACCTGGAATACTATCACAGCAATTATTTAATTGCAAAAACATAAGCATCATATTTGCCAACTTGTTCATAATCAAACAAAAGGTAGCTTGAAATCTCATTGCTTTTCACTGTAATTGTCTATTTCAGCTCCTGACAGCTGTCATGGTCAGTGCTTATAGTACCAGCTGTGCTAGGGCCATACCTTCTGGAAAGACACTGATAACAAAAAAATAACCCTTCTATTTTGTGCAGAGAAGTTATCTCTGAAAGACCGAGACACATAATTGCTGCAAAACAGGGATAGGCGCAACTCTTCCAAACGCTTGTCGATAGAATTAGCCCCTCTAACAGAACTGTTTCAGGGCCAACCTGCAGTGCCATCCCCAGGACTGAAGCGAAAAAAGCAAAGTAAAAGAACTACACTTCCAGATGGGCTGTAAGGTGATACAATATATGTGTTCTTTCACCTCATTTTATTGAAGTGGCTTCAGCAACCTAACGCAACTAGCTATTCTCACCCATGTCAGGGCTGAATCCTTAGTATGGAATAGGCCTACTTCCCAATACACTTTACCTGCACCCTCACTCCATATTGCATGTAAAGACTGAGCTGTGCAGCCTTTTCAAATACATGAACTTTACATTTAAAGGAAACCTGGATGAGTGTAAAAGAAGGAGTCAGGGTATACTCCAGTAATTCCCTTAGCAGGCACGATTAGGCTCCCAGGGCAGCAAGACTTGCTGCTGATCATACTTTTGCCGCAGCCTGGTCACAGCATATCCATTATCTAGGATGAAGGGACACCTAATGCAGAACATGCCTGTACCCACATAGTTCAGTTTATGGTTTTTTTTTGATTTAGTCATGTCTGACTAGTGACACAAAGTCTAATAAATGTCTACAACTATCTATTGAGAGACTGTTGAGGAGATGGCGCCAGTCTTCTCAGAGGCCCACAGCAGAAAGATGAAAGTCAACAGAAAGGAGTTGGAACATGGGGAAGTCTGACTGAATATAAGGTGTTTGGTTGTTGTGGACTTTGGTGCTGGTGTTCGTTCGGAGTTTTTTTCTTCTTTGTTTTTAAATATTGTTATTTTAAAACCATGAGGACAGTTGCACTGGAACAGGGGTCTACAGAGGTTGTTGAGGAAATTCCATCCTTGGAGATGTTCTGAACTTGACTCAACACAGCCCTGAGCAACCTGCTCTAAACAGAGCCACTTTGAGCAATAGGCAGGACTGTAAGGACAGAGCAGGCAAGACATTTATGGCCTTCAGAAGTCTCATCCAACATACATTATTCTAGATATACTGTAAAGCTATCTGTAAAGCACCTGAGTGATGTCTGAATTATAGGAGAATTTGATCTGAAATGGATAAAATCCTGTTTCTTTTGAAGCCAAACTGACAAGTCCTTGAACAGGTTTTACGTGCCTTAGTTGCATGACACAGACACTTTTGAAGAGATTTGTGTATAACGATGCAATTAAGACTACAGGCTGGTGATTTACGTCAGCACCGGAATTACCTCTCCTGGATAAAATTCAAAGACCACAATGTGCCTAGCCTCGATGAATTATAGCTTAACTAATCATATGTCAAAAGGATGGAAATGGCTCCAAGTATATGGAAAATTATCTCTTGTGAACATAGCAGCAGAAGGAAAAAAAACCACACAGTTGAAAACATAACACTTTCCTAAACACCTGCAGAATGAACCTGGAAAAGTCCTAAGGTTCCCAAAGAGTTTTAAAGGGATTGCTTGTGGTGAACTCCAGTTAGTAGAGACCAATGTTCACTCTAAAAGCTGTGCTAGAGAAAAGTGGTTTTGCATATTTGACTGTCACCCTATAATCGGAATTCCTTAAATCCAATTCCTTCCGTCAAATTAAGTTGGAAGAATTTTCAGTTGTAAAATATATCGAAGCCCTACTTTTATTAATATAATGTTGCACTCTTGAATCACTTATGATTAAGAACCACAGTGATGCAAAACTGCTCCTTGCAGTATGTTCCTGTGACATCAGTAGGAAAGTCATCTTCAGGCCTGAGCATCTGTGCAAACGGAACAGGCTTACCTAGTGTTGGTGGGATTAGTTTCTGAAGACATATGAAACTCTACTAGGCACCTATCCTCTTAACGTGTTCCTTCGTAACTATGTGCCATGGAAATGCAAGACACTAAATTTACTTTCTGATTAGCTGGATGTTAGCTGTTGTGATGAGTGGAAAGCATTCTGTGCCTTTTATAGTGCTCTGTTTGACAATTAGCCGAGTGATCTCAAAAGGTAACTGAAATGGGTGCCACTCTCGGAAGCAGAAATAAGCTGCTTCTGTGACTCAAGAAACTCGTAGTTATTTCACATGCCTGGAATACTCCTCTGTCTGATATGCTGATGCTGCAGTATGTTACACGCCGAATGTCTGCCACTCCACACCACAGACTAAAGCAATACCAGAATGCAAACAATTAGTCTGCATGTTTTCCATTTTTTTCCTGGCCTTTGAAGTTTGCCCTATCTTCAAGTTAGGCTTCAGCCAGTCTACACCAAAACTTGCAAGAGCTTAATCAACACCTACTGTAGGTCGTTTACCTGGATACTTCTCCAGTTCTTGCAGCTTAGACCCATTGATGTCTGTAGCAATGACTTTGGCTCCTTCTTTTGCAAAAGCCTGAAGAATACAAGAGTAGTTGTTTATATTCAGATATTCCAGATCTTACCAGAAATAAAATCTGCTTTCTTCTCCTTTCTTTTTTGGCTTGAATAAAAGTTGGCTGAAGGCAGCTGATCTCCCACTTTTCATTTTGGCCATGTCAGGGAGTAACAGGCATCAATTACCAGACATCCTGGGGACAACTAAGTAACTGTATGTGATACAACACAAAAGTTATGATCTTTTCCTTAAACAAAGGAATCCATAAATTCAGTATAAGAACAGTACTAAGACAACTGGTACTAGTATTGCCCTTACTAGCTGAATGGACACTAATAAGCATGTTACAAACACGTAGGGCTAGAATTGTCTATCTTACTGGATTTAAATGGTATTGACAGGTAAAGGCACAAGTTATAAAAGGAAATGGTGATATATAAATTTTGTGAAAATACTTTGCATCCAAACCATTGGAATAGAGCAATATTAAAAGAAACATGACTTTCTTTGGCACTTAACCAGAGATATTCCCTCATTCTTGATGCTCCCCTCAAAGCCTGCTTTCTCTGCACTGTGATTACTGATAAATCAACAGCAATGCTAACAAAGTAACCTCCATGTCAAAAATATTCTGACACCTCAGAAGCAGCCCCTAATCTTCAAAATAAGTGTCTCATGTGCAGCTTAAGAGAATAGTGGCATTAAACATGCCAGCCTTCCTTCCATGGCTTTTTGGGTATTTACAAGTTTACAATTACTTACTCCTTTGGACTAATGTAAGTGCCAAGATTAGCAGTCTCCTGCATTCTTAAACATATGCATATGAAACTAACTAGATTGGCAAAAATCCTTCTTACAGGAGCTTTTCCTGGCTTGTTGATTACATTACAGAGATAACGAGATAACCCTACTAACTCCTCTATTTGCTGTGAAAGAAGGAAATGGCACGGGAAGAACTGGTCAAAAGGAATTAAAAGGTAGCCAGAAAGTTAATACATATGTTGAATTCTGTTTAACAGTAATAAAATAAAATTTGTGAATGATTTTTCACAGTTGCTCATGGTAAACAACACTGTAGCTGTGCAGTCAGTATTGTACAGACTTTGCTATGTCAATGATTAATGCAGATAAAATACTGTGGCTTTACTGTAGGGTATAACAGGAAATATTCCCTCTATCCTTATCTTCTTCCAGAGCAAAGCAGCAGAGATATTGGATTAAAGGTACAGATAGTACCAGCTGTATAGTTAGAGAAGCAGTTGCAGCTGTTCTTGAATCTTGCTCTTACCCTTGCCTGCTGTCACCACTTGGAGCGTCAGACTTTAAGAAGTCCAAACAGCACAAAGCATGCAGTATAATGACTCTATTATTCCCTGAATTTTTCAGTGAACAGTTCTGGCTTCATCTACGGTTTATGAATTCAAGAATTTGCTTGGTGCGGGTGTCTCTGGACAAGCTAGCGTTAGAGACCTAGCTTAGGTACAGGAGAACAAACATCTTCCCACTTACTATAGCAGCTGCTCGTCCAATCCCCTGTGCTGCTGCTGACAGCAGTACGACCTTCCCGTCAAGCCGACCCATGCTGCTGACCTGTGCAGGCAAAAGATGTCACAATCTTTAACAAAAAGATGAGCCAACAACTCTCCCTGAGAATCAGATGCAAACATGTTGCAAAAACTAGACATGATTCTGAGTACCTCTGCCATCAAATCATGTCACAGACTATCCTGTTTGGCTGCAGTGTGACCCTGAGTCACCCAGGGTGCTGGAGGGGGGGACTGCCTCAGTCTTTTTTGTTTTGGTTCAGTTTTTTAATATAGTAAGAACTTCAAAAATATCAAAAGATTTGAGCTCAAAAGCCAAGCTTTTTCATAACAGAAATCATGCTTTATTTTAACTTTAACAGAAAAAAAAAAGTTAAGATAAAACAGAAGCACAACAGTTCATAATCTAGTGTTTCCACTGTCCATTGTGTTCTTAGAAAGCAGTCTTCCTTCTATTCCTCAGTCTGCCTTCTATTCCTCTCAAACTCACCAACTTCCTAGATTACAGTAAATTCCACACAATATCCTAGGCCTTGGTGTTGGCTCTGAATTGTCTCAGGAAACTTCCAGCACTGCAAATTCCCAGCTCCAACAAGGCAGGATGAAGGGAGGGAGGAATGATAAAGCTCTGTCCCCTCTTGCCTTCCTTGCTCTCAGGGAACTACTGAGCATGTGGAGGACAAGCAATAAGGAACCTCTAGGATGTTCCACCTTACTCAATGTGTAGCAGCCAAAATGCAAAACATTGCCCTCTTATCTTCTGCCCAAGCACACACTTTGAAATGTTGTGGCATGTTTAAAGAAAAACAGCATGTAAAGTTGAGAATATAACTAAATAACTAAAAGCAAATGCAATCCTCTCCCTCCCGTAGATTTCCCATTATTTAAGGGACAAACTACTGAATAGGGTGTTTCAGAGTGAGGTCACTGTGTTCATCAAAGTGTAATATCTGGTATTTGTTAACTAGGTTATCAATAAGCAAAACTTTCTGCACTTCTAATCCACAGAGCAAAATTTATTTATGTAGCTGAGTGTAGAAAGGTATCCCAAGAACCTGAAGTCTTAAAAAATATACATGAATCCAACATACCAAGTACTTCACTGAGAAGTTAAGATAAAGATGCCATAATGTCCCCTAAATTAGTAGACAATGTTGTTATCTAGAGATGCTCAAATCCGAGATGTGGCTCAGATGACAAAGTCAAATTCAGTGACCTGTATCTTAAACCAAATTATTAATTTATCTGATTTTGACCAGAAATCCTGTCTATTTTCTCAGCAGCTTTTCTCTACAAAAGTTGCAGCAAAACCAGTATTACCCTGAAGGTTACAGATTCAACAAATCATACTTCTCAAGCAATTGAATGGAAAAAATATTTCTATTCTAATATATAAATCAAAAGATTTAATGGTTTTAAGTCAGAGTTGCAAATTACGTATCAAGACGAACCAACTTCTCCAACCTGAGTCCTTCCCACAGGCCGCAGTTATTCATGAACTGCTCCAGTGTGGGTCCCTTCCACAGGGTGCAATCCTTCAGGCTTCAGGTTTCTTCAGCGTGAGTCTCTTCCATGGGGCCTTTCAGAACGGGCTTCTCCAGTGTGGGTCCTCCATGGGGTCACAGCTCCTGCCAGCAAACCTGCTCCAGCACAGGCTCCTCTCTCCACATGGCCACAGGTCCTGCCAAGAGCCTTTCCAGTGCAGGCTGTCCACGGGCTTCTTTGGGCATCCCGCGTCTCTGGTGTGGGGTCCTCCCCAGGCTGCAGGTGTGTATCTGCTCCACCATGGACCTCCATGGGCTGCAGGGGCACAGCCTGCCTCACTATGGGCTGCACCATGGGCTGCAGGGGAATCTCTGCTCCAGTGCCTGCAGCACCTCCTCCCCTCCTTCTGCGCTGACATGGGTGTCTGCAGAGCTCTTCCTCTCACGTGTTCTCACTCCTCTCTCTGGCTGCAATTGCTCTTGTGCAGCAACTTTTCCCCCCTTTTTAGACACATTATCCCAGAGGCACTACCACTATTCACTGATGGGCTCGGACTTGGCCAGCAGCGGGTCAGTATCGGATCCAGCCGGCATGAGCTCTGCCGGACACCTGGGAAACTTCTAGATGCTTCTCACGGAAACCGCTGCACTATATCCTCCCCCCTGCTACCCACACCATGCCACGCAAACCTTATACGCTCCCTGAAGGCAGAAGAAGCTTTTTTGGTTTTTTTGGTCACATGTATCTTTTCAGCAGAAATCAGACAACGAAATCCTATCAGTTCAAGTACTGTAACGCTTTGGAAGCACAACGCACTGAAAATACATTTTTCAACCTATCAAACATGCACAGTGCTTTTTCCCAACCAAACACGCACAATAAGTATTTTTCAAACAAGCAAGCACAAGAAACACATTTTTCAATCTAACAATCAGTTTTTAGGAACATTTGCCGATTCTCCGAGGCATTTAAAAATAAATGTTAATACAGTCACTCACCAAGAGAGCGCAACCAGCTCCTTGTATCTGCTGACAAACTGAAGTTCACGATCTTTTCTGCTGTGCTTACTGGGAGTTGTAGTCTAAGAGGTGAATTTCTGCAGAACGCAATTTCCTGTTGAAACGTTGAGATGCCGCCACCTACCGAAACTGCGGAGTTAACGCTGTGATTTTCTTCCTGCACAGGAAGGGACAAAAAAAACCCCAAAACCAAAAACCAAACAAAACCAAAAAAATCCATTCTCCCCAAGGAATTCAAGAAATCCACAAGATTCTCAGCAGAGCAGGCCACAAACATGGTTCCCCCCCTCCTCCGCAATCTCTGTTTAAGCAATATAAGCTAACAAATTCCAAACTAGGACAATATTGATGTTTCAGGAAGAATTTTGAGTCCTGCCTTAACTTGCAAGGCCCATTTTCCTCAGAAAAGCCACTTCTGTGGCTAAACTGGGATAACATTACAGAACTTTATGTATGTATTAAGTTTGTCTTAGTTTTCTGCTAAACTATAATAGCTTTGAAAATAAAACCGCCCTCGTAATTGTGTATAGAAGAGGTAGAGCTGTATATACACATACCTTATTTCTCCCTTCCAAAAAGAAAGTGAGTTGGTCTAACTCATTTATTAGAGCACCAAGATGGAAAGAATAAAGATAAAAAAAGCTGGTAAAGGAAATACCTTTCTATTGTGGTGGAAACTGAAAAAAACAAACCAACCAGTTCAGTGTTGAACTCACTAACTACTGAGAACCTGTGTAGTTTTGGCTAGCAATATCTTTAAAAGCTTCCCCAAATACATTTCAGGTCAAAGATTTAGCGATAAATGCTTGCAATTTCTTAGTAGTTACAGTAGTTGGTAGAGTCTTCAGCTATTCAGGACAAAAGATAGTCAGTTCTTACAGGTATCTCTGAAGTACCTCCATCAGGTAAATAATCCTTGTACAACTCTTCCAATGACAATAACTGCTGAATGCCAGGGAACATGTCAGTGTAACCATTTGCTTATCAGTTTGGATAACCCAAAACAGAGTACTTGCAGACCTAGCATCAAGAGCTTTATTCATATAAAATAAGGATTATGTTTTTGATACATGTATCTTCCTTAAATATGAGTCTTATCTCATGATGATTATTTTGTTCTTAAACAGAGGTGATCTTGGGTTTTGAGTGCCAAATTCCTATCGAATTGGCAACGGAGGGCATGTGAGGAAGATCTACCTTTTAGACCTCAAACATTTCCTGGCAGAGAGACTCAAAAAATTAAGCACAACACCAGTGACAGACTTGTGCAACAGTAAACTTCCACACAAAGTAATTATTGCAGAAAGTTAGATGACACAAGACAAGATACAAAATTATGATGGAAGTGGTATTATTACTATAACAAGATAGTTCTTAGACACTGAATACTGTAATCAAACACCTTTAGGTCATAGCAAAAGTGACCAGAAAATATACTTTTAAATACTTAACATTTTATTGTCAAAACAAATATTATACAAAACATACAAAAAAGTAGGTCCCACAATACAGATAAGCAGGCTATTAAAATAGTGTCTTGCAGCCCTCATCATCATCCAGTTTATTTTCAATTCACTAGAGTAGCAGAGAAATGCCAGGTCCATTGCTCACTATTAAAAAAAATTATCAATATCAGCTTCAGACAGGAACTAGAAGTATTTTGAAAGATGATGCAAAATACAAAGTTACTCTTGGTACCATAACTGGCTGAGCTTCAGAATACTGAAAGGAATCCTTGATTGTGCCCTATAGACAGAAAATTAGTAACTTCAGTTGCAGTGTCCAGATAGAGAGGTTAATAGTGTGCTGAAAATGCAGTTTCTGTGGACTTAGAGAAAGCATGGTATAAAAACCGTATACTGAGAAATAAAAAGCATAGTTCTTTCCAACCCAATAGCACTCTGAAGATACAGGTATTGCCCACCCAGAAGAGGGCTAGTTTAGGAATGACAGAATTAAGTTTATGACTGAGAAGCTTCACAGTAGATTAATGTTCTATTCTCATTTCCTTTTCTTCAATATTTTGGCTTTTCTTTCTTTGCCATCCAGGAAAGGAACAAACCACCAAAGCAGAATGTCATCAGATCAGCAGTTTGTGGGCAACATGACTGCTTTTCCAACTGGGGGAAGTAGCAACTCCAAGACAGCAAGGGATCTGCGTGCCAGGGCATTTCTCACAATTTGAGAGGCTGATGGCTTTTGACCTGAAGTAATTATCTTTCATATATGCAGGTTCTGGCTGTAGCCACAGCAAAGACAGCTTACAGTAGAGCACCTTTATTGGGTGATACAGTCAGGGGCTTTGTCTTTCTCTGAAGTTCCAAACCACTGCTTAAGATGTTCTTCTGTGGGCTCTGTTCCCACAGGCTGTGTATCTATATAGAAGACAAGAACATTAAAGTAACACTTAAGCTTTTCCAATCAGACAAGGAGTAGGAATACAGCAATTCAATCCTGACTAGTGTTTTAAATGTCTGCTATCACAGCTTGCTTCTGAGGAGCTTGGTAACAGCAGACTTCCTCACAACACTAAGTTAACCATCACAAGGAACAGCAATGGATTATACTCTTTCTGGAAGTCTGCCACTAGTACCTTGAAAACTGGTTAACTTTTCAACATGTCTGAAAAGGTTTCTAGAAGCAAGTGCAATGATGAGGGCAGTAGCACTAATATGCTAGTGTAGATCACTAGGAGACTTCCCCAGATGTAAGAAATCTTGAGCAGGCCTGAGCAACAGAAGTTAGCAAGACAGCTATTACTGCAGCCGGAGCCAGGCAGACTGGCAGATGCAACAAAAACTAAAGTCTGCACTCTTGAAGTTTAGGAAAAAAAAAATAAAGTTAACCAGCAGGTAACTTCAAATAGTTTTCCCAGAAGTTTGTGCTTAACCACCAATGTAAAGTTAAAAAGCAAAACATTGTAGAGCATCAGCTATCTATTCTCTTTAAAAAGTCAGTCATAAAAACTTCCACTACAACAAAAGAAGAAAGACTGTATAACATTCATGAGGTAAAGGGTTCATTTAAGTATTTAGGTTCTGTAGAATATACGTAAGCTTCACGGCTCCAGCTGGTCAGCCCTACAATAGTCAGCTGACTAACCAGTCAGGAAAACTGTGTTACCATGCAAGCTTCAGGTCAGAATGTAAGTACAGAGTATTTACCACCCTCAGCTCACAGTCTACCCCTTATATTTTGCCTCTCCAAACCTTTACAGGACACCACCACTGTGTCACATACCTGTAAGTGTACCCAAGCTGGAATTATCAAAGAAATTTGTTACAGAAGATGGTGGCAGAGACTTCACTACGTCCTGAGTCACAGCCTCCTGAGAAACAGGTTCCTTTGCAGGTGAGGGCATTTCCTCTTTAAGGGAATATGACACTGTCTTCCTTGGGGAACTTGGTATCATCTCTCGAGCATTTTCTCTCGAGAGTCTTTCTTTCTTTTTTAGGGCTCTTTCTTTCCATTTCCTAACTTCATCTTTCAGTTGAAGCTCATTACTGAAAAACAGAATCAAAACACACTCCAGCACTTAATTAAGAAAAATTTAAAGTAGTTCCTTTATATAAGGAAAAAAATCCCAACAGACAGGTCCTGTATTTTCAGATGACATACCACAGACATGGCTATGCAAGACTATATCTGTGTAACCTTGCTTTCAGAGGTAATTTATTTTCTAAGCTAAAAAATTTTCCAACATACAATTTCAGTGTATCTTCTAGCATTTAAGAGATTATTAAAAAAACCCCAAAAAATAAAACACCACAAAACCAAGTTCAAAGCCATAAAGATACATAAGCAGTAAGTCACTAGCTTTAAATACAAGTTTGATGTGAAAGTATCTACAAAATCTAATATTAATAGTAATTACTCATTTTTATAGGCCTCTGAGAAAGAGATGCTGATGACACACACAGTTAAACAGCAAATAATTTGACATGTTGATCAGCTTTATACTTACCTTTGTAGAATGTCAAGTTGGTTCTTCAGGTGCGAGTTCTCTTTCTGTAGTCTCACACGTTCAGATTTTAGAATAAGTATTTGTGTGCTCTGCACAATACCACTGCCACCACCACAAGTAATAGGCATTTGGGATTGCTGAGGAGCTTCTTTTTCTGGCACCACTAGGAAACAGTTTTATACAGATACATGCATTATTTGGACAGTCAATATATTTTTTAGCCTACTCCTTCCTATGGTCTTACACGTAAAACCTCACTCAGTTACAAGTGCCATTACAACAGCTAGTATTTTTTCTTTCTTATAAACCACCACCTTCTCTCCTCCTTCACCCACAGTATTCACACTGCCAGGGAGATACTCAGAAACTCAAAAGATTCTTCACTGGATCATTTAGAGTTAAAATAGTTATAGTTTCAGATATGTAATAATTATGATTAGAAGTAGCTAATCACATGTGAAGTCAGTCAAGGAAAAAATGGCAACATGTACAATTACAGTTGCAGCTTATCCCACCACAAGTACAAACAGCTGAAGAAATAAACATAAGAGCTGCTGTGATTTGAATGTGCTGAACCCGTTTAGTCTAGAGAAAAGATTAAACAGAGAGGAGATCTCATTAATGCATATAAGTATCTAAAAGGCCCATCCCAGGAAAATAGTGCCAAACTTTTCAGTGGTGCCCAGTAACAGGACTATGCGTAATGGCCATAAAGTAAATAAAACACAAGAAGTTTCACCTCAACATGAGAAAGAACTCTATGTTGAGGGGGGCAGAGCACTGGAACAGGCTGCCCAGGAAGGTTGGGGAGTCTCCCTCTCCAAAGACATTCAAAACCCACCCGGATGCTTTCCTGTGTAACCCACTCTAGGTGGCCCTGCCTTGGCAGCAGGGTTGGACTACATGATCTCTTCCAACCCTAATGATTCTGTGATTCTGTATGTGCAGCTAACATTTTACTTTTCACCTCATCTTCCAATGCACCCAGTCCTTCTCACACCCTTTGAAGCAAAACACCTGCATCTTAATCTGGACTTCAACCATATAACCTTAAAACTGAATGTTTAACATAGAGCTCCTTATATTCATCTTGAATTTACCAGTAACATCATGCTCTTGATGCGCTCTTCTAAGTTCTTCTTTGAGCTTTGTTAACTGCTGTTCTTGGTGTTCTGCAAGAGCTTTATAATTAGCAAGTCTATATAAGGCAGAAAGGGAAGAAAAAAAAGTAAGAAATTCTTGGTTTAATAATCACAGTGGCAGGAGAGCTACTATGTGCTATCAAATACAAAACAAAGTTATTACAGGTAAAACTATATAAACCTGGTTGTCAGGTTTTAGGTAGAGTGCAGAAAACAAATTGGACTAGAATTCTTCTGTGTAACCATTCACTCCAGTGACCTAGAGTGATTTCAATTACTGCTCTCCCCTCACTTTTTGTCAGAAAAATTATTTCATTTATGGCTGACCATGGGTTGATTGAAATTTTGTTTTATAATCAACCCAAGATTCATGTGGTTTTCACTTTCTCTGCAATCTAGCTACAGTAAAAACCTAGGACACCTAAAACTGAATGCTTACTTCTTATTTGGAGGGGGGGGGAAGGAAAAGTAGGAGCTAAGAGCCGAAGAGTTGAGAACTGTAACAAGGTAAAAGCTGAACTTACTTTGTATCAAAAGATTTGGATTGTTTCATTCTTTCCATATCACATTTTACCAACTGTGTTTTGAGATTATCAATTTCGTCTTTATACAACTCAGCACCTTTATCTAATTTTGCCTGAAAAGAAAAGATTGAGTGTTAAGAAAGGCTCATTACTTAGCAATGAATTTAAGAGTTGCTTACCTTGTAATTTTACTGCTAGATTTTGCAGGACAAGACTGGAAGCAGGAAGTTATTTTGGAGTAAGAGCGGCCACATTACCAACTAGCACTATAGTATTAGCTGGTATCCTAACTCTGGTATATTACATGCAATCATACTTTAGCAAGTTTGACTTGTTTGCACATCTAAGTCAAGGAATTCTGAACCAGTATGCAAACATGCTACATACAAAACCAGCTCATGCTTCAGTTTCAAAATAAAAACTTTCAGAATGTTTCAGAAATGCATCACATAAGTGCTTCTAATATTGTAACATGGGTTCTAAGTTCTGCCTCTGAAAGCTACATTGGTAGAATGTGAAACAGGCAAGTACAGCGTTTTACTCTAAGCATGCCATACAAACCAAACTGACTTTAGAGAGCTACGTTTCATCTACAGCTGTTCTCAAGCATACCCTCTCTCCAAGATCAGATGAGAATGAGAAGAGTGAAGTATTTTGCTCATACCTGAAGACCCTGATTCTCTGTCAAGGCAGTTTTGAGGGACTTCTCCATCTCATTCAGTTTGTCTTGCAGTTGGGTAAGCTCACTTGTCTCAATTTTAATTCTTATCTGTGCTTGTAACTTGTTTATAGTGTCATCTTTCTCTTCAAGATTTTTTCCTACTTCTTTTATTACATTTTCCAATTCCTGAATTTTTACTTCCATAGCCTATTGAGATATATAAATCAGTTATGAGTAGTTATATGAAAGGATACAATAGTAACAGCATATGGTCGTACTCTTAATAAAAGGAAAACCCAAACCACACAAGAAAATCCAACACTACAGGCTCTATGGTAACTCTTGGTGTCTACCTCACTGTTTTCTGTCACCTTTTAGTATTCTGGAACACTCAAGTCTGAGGAGAAAAAGTGCTTCAGACAAGGGTAACTGTGACAAAAAACAGAACAGAAAAAATGAGTCCTCAATCCCTAGGATTAAAGACAGAATTCTTCTCCAGCTTCCTATCTGACATAATGAATACCATATACTTAAGGGAAGCATCAAGAGTATCACAGTACTAAAAGCAATACATCAAAACCATTCAGAGACATTTCATGTTGATTTCTAAAGTGATGTTTGTGCACAGAAAACAGGTAATTAAGACACATTACAGGCAAGAGCTCAAACTTCCACTTTGGGAATAAAAAAAGCTACAAAAATAAAGTGCACTCTGGGCCAATATGTTGTGGCACAGATTCACAGTTGCCATCAATATTCTTTTTTTTTTTTCCAGTCTAAAATACAGTTGCTTAGAAAACAAGCATCAAATAAGCTTTCCTCAGAAATGACTATCAGTACCTTCACATCTTGTTCTGCTGCCCGCAGTTTGTTATGAAGCCTGTAGTTTTCTTCTTCTGACACATGACTGGCAGAGCCACCAGGGGCCAGTTGTTCTTTAAGAGTGTTAAGTTCCTGAAGCAGTTCTTCACTTTTCTCTTTTCTCTGTTTTGATTCAACATCAGCATTTTGACAAAAATTGGCAGTTCTGGCATCCAGCTCTGATGAAAGTTGAAGGAGTATCTGAAAATAAAAGTAGTGTCATACTGATAAATTTTAACTTATTTTTGAATCAGCTAGAATTAAGTGTAGAAACAAGAAGTATCTTGGCTTGTATTAGTTTCACATTCTTGTTTCAGCATCCCATTTGCAGGTGCTTGCTATCAGAAATGAGTCACTAACACTCAAAGGACTGGTTTCATTTCCAGAAGAGGTGAAAGCAGGAAGGGGCACAAGAGAAGACAATGCACTACAAAATTACCAGTATTTCTGCATTAACTCAAACACATGCATTACAGAAACAAAAGAACTATATTGGAAAGACTAACAGAAGCACACACAATTATTCAGTTTTTGCTGGAATGTGTCCATTGACTAAAATAAGTGAAGCCATTTGAAAGAAAATGTACACATTGGACTATTCTAGAAACCAATATGTTTAACATGCTAGATAAAGAAAAACTTCACACTGTCAAGAAATAACACTATACTAGACTTGTTTGGTGAAAGCTTTGATCCATGAAATATGTCTGTCAGGGAATTTTGCCAAAAAGCCTGGTAACATTGGGAAATACTGAAGTCAAGACTGGCTATTCTCCACAAGCAGCAGCTTTTTAAAACAAGCTAAACTTAACAGGACAGAACTGAGTCATAACACTGGGGGAAGAAGGGTGGTGAGCTTTTCATACTTCAAATCAATACTATTAGAAGGAATAGTAGAAGCAGACCAGGAACTTCCAGGATGTACTTGTTAGGAAAAGTTCCTAACACCTACTCAGAAGGTAGTGGATTCCCTCCCATAACCTGTTTCTTTAAGAAGTGTTCAATGCATTCGATCAAAAAGATTAAATCACATAAAGTTCATGATGCACTTAACCCTGTAACACTTGGGTTTTTTCCAAAGGGGACAAGAGGTTAGAAGGAAAGAGAAGAGAAAGGAAGGCTGAACTTCCTCTGGAATAACGTGACTTTCTGAAATCAGAAGAGACGTGAGAATAAGTTACAGTTGAGCTTTGAAAATGGCTAAAATAGTTTTGATAAAGTTGGCTTGAAAAGAGCAGACAATCCCGTGGGCATAAAGCATGAGGAAAGTGTTTGTAACCAAGCTGACAAGTTCCGCAAGCAAAGGTATAGAATACTTGTGAACCTACAGCTTCCAGAATTCAGTCTAAC